CGCTAAACTACTGACAACCTCGAATTCATTTCGATCGGAGAAATCGACAAAAGCTCTTTTCTGGCAAAAAAAAACATGTAAATATAAAACATATAAATAGTACAGTTAATAAGAAAATTTTGCCAATGGCCATCCATTTACTTTTTTCGTTGTACAAAAAAGGTAGGGAAATCCATGCAAAAATTAGGCTTATGCTAGTGAAACTCTAAATTTCCATTTTAACAATCCTTTGTTTACTGTAAGTCAGCTTTGATACGTGTAGATGTGTTGTTACAATTTTGCCTTTTTCTTAATCCGAATAAACGTCAAATTTTCGACACTTTTCGCATATATTGGAGGACTCATTTTACATATGTTCGCTCAATTTTCCAACACTATCAGTTTCTTTTCAAAAAGTCATTAAAATAATTTGAGATAAAAAAAAGATAATCCCGCGCTCTCATTTATCAGTATCTCAAAACCTCAAATTTCTGTGAACTTTACGCAAAGGGCAATTTCAGCGAAATGGGGATTCGATAAAACGTTGAAATAGCTCTTTTTTTCCATCTCACATTCCAACTCTGTAACTGACTCATAATAAATCGACTAGATAAAACTAAGCTGGAAGAACGACCTTTCTTGTGGTGCAAATTTTTTCTAGTGAAATTATACATAAGGAATTGCGAACAACTTTTGATTTTTAAAATTTCCTGAAAAACTGCATGAACATTTGACAGCCTGATAGATCAGAGAAAAACATGAATTTTCAAACTCATTTGAGAAAAATATGGCTGCGCTTTTTCCAAAATAGACCATTAATCATAGTGTGGGACTGACAGGGCAACAGTTGATACCACATCACGTAGTCAGTTCACTCAATACTCCATATCTAAGATGTTAATACTTACATATCCGTTATTTCTGTTCTGATATTTGAACCTATTGATTGAGAAAATAACTTCAAACTACTATCTTTGGTAATTTCCTAAAATAATTTTTCAAATAACAATTTATTCCTACTTTCGTAAACTTGGCACTCCGCAGCTCACGAAATAAGCTGCTATGATACAATTAGTCGGATTGGTTCAGTGAAAATTGGCCTTTGGTAAATTTAAGAACAAAATTTTTCTTTAAAAAAGGCGTGATTAATCCTTGTTACCTCTTCCTTCACATTTTACTTTTCGTTCTATGATGTGTGCCTTACTTTTTCGAGTAGGTTCGTGCGCCTTTTATCCAAACTCAAAAAATCCAAATTTTTACTGGCAACTTAATATTTTGGAAAGAAGAGCTTCACTCTACAATCTGTTTGTTTATTTCCGAATAATATGATATTTTGATTTGAAACTAGAAACTAAGTGTCAGGTGCATGAAAAAATGCTTTTTTGATATGGGCTCCTTCATGGATTTCCAGAAGCTGCGGTTTTACCCAACTATGTCATGATGACTATAAGTAGTGCTAATTGGCTTCGTATCTGCTGTGTAGTATAGAACCCTAGAACTTTAGGATTACGGTAGGGAAATGATAGACTCGCTCCTCCGCCTCTCCTCTCCGACCTTCAATCTTTTTTTCGTGATCACAATTTTCTAGTGTTTACAATCTACAAATTCATTGAATAAAAGTTTGTGTTAT